TATTATATACCATACCTCTCAATATCAGATTAACTCCCTCTATTTCCTTCAGTGTTCCTTTGACCTCTGGTTTGATCATTTTTTACTATTGTTGTGTGTGTGTGTGTGTGTGTTTTCACTTCTTGTAGTTTGATTTCTGACTTTCTTGTAGTTTTCTTTTTTGACAGCACTTAGGTCAACCTTGATTGTTTTTAAATGTGCTTTATAAATACATATTGTATTGTAGATGTTTTTTTTTTAAATAATATTATAAACTTGTTGCTGAACATTGTACTGTAAAACATTTGCTTTTCAAGACTTTGCTGATCTGAAAGATAGCCTGACTGAATATAGCCTGTCACTGAAAATCATTAGCTTGCTGGTGATTTGCCTCTCATTTATATTTAATATGTATAAATTAGCTGCTATATATCTCTGCATTAATACCCATTTTATCAGCCATTGGTAGTTGAGTTGACATTTTTATTAATCTTGTCTTCTGATTATCATTGTATTTTTAGACAAAACCCACAATTAGATTTTGCATTTAATGGCACTGGGTGATTTTGGTATCAAAAAGAGGCTCAGATGATTGTGATTGATACTGTGATGGTCTGTTTTCATATGTTCAGGGGTGGAAATGGAGCGCTTCGCTGATGAGGCAGACGTTGTCATTGTTGGTGGAGGTCCAGCCGGCCTGTCAGCAGCCATCCGGCTGAAGCAGCTGGCCAATCAGCATGAGAAAGAGCTGCGGGTTTGTGTGGTGGAGAAGGCGTCTCAGATTGGAGCTCACACTTTATCTGGAGCCTGTCTAGAGCCCACTGCACTCAGTGAGCTTATTCCAGACTGGAAGGAGAGAGGGGTACAAACAAACACACATGCACACTGTACCCAACTTAGGATCTGTTAACACAGCACAGACTATTGTAAATACTATATTCCTATTTTAAATGCAAAAAAAAAATAAATTTTTTTTTAAATAAAAATAGCTGTAAAAAATATGGGAAATATGTTGCCATTCTGATTTACTGTCATGTTATTGATTTCTGATTTCTGTCATGTTATTGATAAGCATTTTCTGATTGTGTTGACACATGGACCATTGATGGCCATGACACTGATTTTGATTCATGTCTAACAGGCTCCACTGAACACTCCAGTTACAGAGGACAAGTTTTCCATTTTGACAGAAAAATACCGCATTCCTGTTCCAATATTACCAGGTAGGTTATTGCTATTGCATAAGGCCCATTTTAGAGAGTTATAGAACTTCACACAATGAGAGTTACATAATGTAAAAAAATTAATAAATAAAATAAATGGTCTACTTGTGTCACAGTGTCCTGAATGGTTTTGTAACCTATTGTTAGATTTTGCTGTATTTGGCTGAGCAGTAGTTTGGGTGGCTCGCCAATGTACTAGATTTCTCTAATACATAAAATAAGTACGCTTGACCAAAGTTCTTGTGGGGAGAATAATTTATTGAAGGTAGCAGTGTAGCAGTTCTTCAGCAGTGAAGTTAGCATGTCATCCTTCAAACAATCCTAACCCAAGGTACTGTCTGTGAGACCAGACCTTTATACCTGGTAACAAATGTGCTACAAACAATACAATAACACCCCATGGAGAGCCAATGATAGTGTAACCTCATGATGACCTGATACGACCTCTCCCATGGAGAGCTCATGATACATTGACCTAATGTTGACCTAATGGGCTAATTATATGGGCCATTTGGGTCACACTTTTGTAAATGGAGTTTCAGTTGATTGCATCTGAGGCACAGTCAAAATGTAAATGCATCTTGAAGTGCACATAATCTTTCACTATACAAACTTTTAAAGATTTTTAAGACTGGTTCACTTACATGGATGCAATTAAATGCAATTTGTGAACACAGGACTTCCAATGAATAACCATGGAAACTACTTAGTTCGTCTGGGGCATTTTGTACACTGGCTTGGGGAGCAGGCGGAGGAGCTGGGAGTGGAGCTGTATCCAGGCTACGCAGCAGCTGAGGTCAGAATGCCTTCCTTATGTGAATGTATGCAATTATTTTTTTATTTTAATTAGACCTGCTTTCTATACTTGTAGTTTGTATTGTGAGTGATGTGCTGTACTTATTAAAGCTCTGGATTGGTAACCGAAAGGTTGTAGGTTCAAAACCCCTCAAGACGATCAGCGCACTATAACCTAGATTTTATTTAACTTCAGGACTGCTGTTTCTGTAGTAAGCAGGGTAGTAAGCAAAATATCACGGAATTTTAAAATTGTTAATCACAAATGTCATGGAAATGTATACAATTTTAAAAAGTCATAGAAATGTATGTAATGTAAACATTTGTGTAGTTCCTCTTAGATTGCCTTGAAATTACACTCTGTGAGTGCATTCTCTATTAAATTATTTTAAAAATATATTCAGTAATTTAAAAACAACTGAAAAATCATGGAATAAAGAAAGTTAATTGGTTAAAAGGCAGAGAAATGCATAATGCATTCTCCAAGTTGCTGTAGATAAAAGTAAAAAAAGTCACATGATGAGATATGAAGTTGTAATTTTGAGAATTTTCAGTTATGAATTCCTATTGTTAGAGTCACAATTACGAGATAAAAAGTTATTCACATTACACTTGTCACATTACAGTTGACAAACTCTTGTCAACCTGTCTTTTTCCCTCTCTCTCTCTCTTTTTTTTTTTTACACAGGTGTTGTTTCATGAGGATGGCAGTGTGAAGGGAATTGCAACCAATGATGTTGGCATTGCTAAAGATGGCTCTCCAAAGGTTTTATATGTCAATATACCTTCCAGTGCAGAATATGCAAATACCCTAAATACACATAAAACATTTAAAACACAACCTTTTATGTGATTTAAAAAATTTATTTTTATTTTTATATGAGAATAATTATTAGTCTAAAGCAGCTGAATGTTCACATCAAGCCAAATGTGAACTACATTTTGTTAGAGTTTGAGAGTTTGTGAACTACAACTAAAGATTGCAGTGAGAAAAAATAAAAGGCTAACTGTGGGTAAAGTGATTCTGCTATGCAGATGGCATATTCGTGTGCTATTACCACCACATTTCACGCTCTGTTGAACTCCTCCAGGATGTGTTTGAGAGAGGCATGGAGCTCCACGCTAAGGTCACTTTGTTTGGTGAAGGCTGTCACGGACACTTGGCCAAGCAACTCTACAAGCAGTTCAATCTCAGGGAGAACTGTGAACCGCAGACATATGCTATCGGTCTCAAAGAGGTACAAAACCCCTCTTGCTTTGATGATGCTTTAAACTTACATAAATATTTCTCTGTTCAGTTTGATGTCACTGTTTCCCTTTCAGTGACAACATTTGAAGTGAAATCAGCTAGTTCATTTTCACGTTTGGAGTCATTGCTTTCATTTAAAAGCTTGATGCAATTTTTATGAACTGATGAATACAAAAAAAAACACTGCTTTCTTCTAGCTTTGGGTCATTGATGAGAAGAAGTGGCGCCCAGGACGGGCAGAGCACTCAGTTGGCTGGCCTCTAAACAGGAACACGTATGGAGGCTCCTTCCTGTACCACCTCAATGAGGGAGAACCATTGGTAGCCGTGGGATTTGTTGTAAGTCATCTTTTTCCTGAACCTTCTGGGTCAAAATCTGATTGAAGTGTTTCATTGGATTTGCAAAAGTCCTCCTTGAAGCCTTAATCTTAAAGCAGAATGTTCTGGATTGATGTCTTTGTCAGGATGCTTTGATCTATATAGATATTATTGGCCTCGTTCATCATGTTCCTTCATGAGCTAAAACGAGTGTGAAAAGGCTTTCAACTTTAGAAGTTGTTCCTGGTCAGGGTCTGTCATGAGGACATTCGCTCATCCTACTGATAATGTAGCATATCAAAATGACATTTTTTTCCAATCACTTTTTAAAGAGGCATTTCGTGGAATGCTTGTGATTCATAGAAAATAGCTTCAATTCCAGACGTCTTGAGGAGTTCGGCAGTGATGAGGGGCTATTATCCAATGTCGTCATGGCATAGGATGGTACTCAGTCTGATTGGTCACAGTTTTCTGGAGATACAGTGCAGCGTTTGATTGACAGAACTAAATCAAATCTCATGATTGCTCTGAATTGTTTGTCCCTAAAATACATTTCATTTGCTTGCTGAGCTGTTAGCAGAGGCATTGCAGTTTTGAGATACACAGTGTGAGAATACACTACTGTTCAGAAGTCTGGGGTCAGTAAGATTTTTATTTTTTTTTTTTTAAGGAAGTAATACTTTTATTCAGCAAAGATGGCAGTAAGACAATTATAGTGTTACAAAAGACTTCTATTTTAAAAAATTGTATATTCATCAAAGAATCCTAAAAAAAGGTCTCAAGGTTTCCACAAAAATATTAAGTAATGTTTTCAACATTGATAATAATAAAAATTTTCTTAAGCACCAAAACAGCAATATTAGAATGATTTCTAAAGGATCATGTGACACTGAAGACTGGAGTAATGGCTGCTGAAAATTCAGCTTTGCCATCATAGGAATAAATTACATTTTAAAATGTATTGAGTTGAAAAACTGCTTTTTTAAAAAAAATTTGTAATAATATTTCACAATTATAACTGTATTTTTGGTCAGCATAAGAGACTGACAAACATTAAAAAAATGTTCCCAACCTCAGCCTTTTGATTAGTATGGTATTTGGGCCAAATACTATGGTATTATAGTCCTTCTCAGCTCATCTTAGCAGGCAACAGTAAGCAAGGAGTGTGGAGCTTTGCAAACAGTCAGTGCAGTTATTCTATTATGCTGAACTGCAGATGTGTTTGTGTATGTCTCCTCAGGTAGGTTTGGACTACACTAATCCCTATCTGAGCCCGTTCAGGGAATTCCAGCGTTGGAAGCATCACCCCTCTGTAATGTCAACCCTGGAGGGTGGCAACAGGATAGCATACGGAGCCAGAGCCCTCAACGAAGGAGGTTCCCAGGCATGTCAGCAACTTGAAATTCTCAGTATATATGCTTCTGTTTTCACTTGATAAACTTCTCTCAATTGTGATCTCCCCTCCAGTCGATTCCTAAAGTGACGTTCCCAGGTGGCATGCTGATAGGGTGCAGTCCAGGCTTCATGAACGTGCCCAAGATCAAAGGCACACACACAGCCATGAAGAGTGGCAGTTGTATTCTGTGAGGAACATCAGACCATCTTTCCATAGCTATTTTGGTCTCTACGGAGGGATGGTGTACACTGGGATATTCTACTGGATTTTGAGAGGAAAAGAACCGTGGACTCTAAAGCATAATGGTAAGAACAAAGAAACACGTTACGAAATGTTTGCTTGTTTATAACAATAGCTTTTCATTTAAATCAAACATTGCAAGTAGATGAAAATTCTGAGCTATAAAGTCAGTGCAGTGTATTTGTATTTGCTTTATATAACTGATGGTATATATATGTATTGAGCACAGGAAATGGGCATACTTTGAAGAGTTGAGCTAATGTCATATTAATGTCCATTAATGACTGAATTTTAGACTTTTCTGATGCTTCTATAGATGGAAAATGCTGGGTGAAATCAGTTTCAAATTGTTTTTTTTTGAGAATACAATTTTTATCTGCTGGGAAAGAGGTCTTGTTAAAAAGTACTACTTACAATTACGTTTATCAATCCTGAGAAAGAACTAGAAGTATATGGAATCAGAACTTTGAAATAAAATAAATACTTCCAAATGCTAAGTGAATGAGTGTAAAAATAACTGTAGTCATTACCTTCCAAAAGATTTGAAATGCCCAAGGCAACATGGGTTTTTAGACTATATTAGCATAAATCCTTGTTATTTTCGAGATGGTCCTCACTGCAGAACACAAGATCCAGGGGGCGTTGTTAGATCCAGATCCCACCTTACATATACCTAAACCTATCCGTCTCCACCCCCTGATCCCTAAACCCACCCATCTCCACCCATAAACCTACCAATCTCCACCCCCTAGATTTGGATCCAACCACACCCCCTGGATCTTGTGTTCTGCAGTGAGGGGCTACTGTTATTTTTTGATGATTCTTCATAGTTTGTCCATAGTTCTATCAATCCAAAATCACTTTTGTTGAAAAATAAATGTTCTGATATTGCCCAAAACCTTACTTTGTCCAAGGCATTTTAAACTTTCTAATTACTATTTAACACAAAGTAGTAAGTAAACAACATATACTTGAGCACAATTGTATATTCTTCTTTGTTCTCATTTCTGTATTCATTTCAGAGTTATGTATTCTCATGTATGTATTCTGTATTCTCATTTCAGGGTCAAATGCTCCTAAATGTAATGAACTAACTGTGGTTAGCCAGAGGGCCCCTCCCTGCCTGAGCAGGCAGTTCTTACACAGAATTAGCTTCGGTTTGGGCCAGACTGCATGCTAATAGTCAGACATGTTGCTATGCAAGGCTACTACTCAGTTCACTACAGCAGTGGGCGTCTGCCATCTGTTACAATTCATTTGTATTTTATTTCTAATGGTAAACAAACTAATTTACTGTAGGTCTAGACTCTGCTCAGCTGAAGCCGGCTAAGGACTGTACACCCATCGAGTATCCGAAGCCCGATGGGAAGATCAGCTTTGATCTGTTGTCATCTGTAGCCTTGAGCGGGACCAATCATGAGCATGACCAGCCGCCCCATCTGACGCTGAAAGATGACAGTGTTCCCGTGGCCCAGAACCTTGCGATTTATGACGGCCCAGAGCAGAGGTTCTGTCCTGCTGGTATGTAACTAATGCTCTCAGTGTTTCTGCTGCATTTAGGGATAGAGACTCAACCTTTTAGTTGCACCTGATAATACAAGATCAACAAGCTTGACATGCTGAGACTGATGAAAACATCTGGTGAACAAGCTGCCAGTGTTAAGACATTTTGTCCCTGCTGTCCCACAGGTGTATACGAGTATGTTCCTCTCGAGACGAGCGATGGCATGAGATTACAGATCAACGCACAGAACTGCGTCCACTGTAAGACCTGTGATATCAAAGACCCCAGCCAGAACATCAACTGGGTTGTGCCCGAGGGCAGTGGAGGACCAGCCTACAACGGCATGTGATTTCTGTATTACATTTCGTTTTTATTATTGGGCACATCGCACAAGTTCAGAATCGTTTTACTTAACTTTCAGGGCTAAAGCTTTTAAAGACGCGAGTCCTTCTGATGTGCCTAAGGAGCAGAAAGTCCTCATATCCTGTGTGATATGAGCTTGAAGTGTAATTACATAAAGTGGCTTTGCATATTTCAGGTTTGATCAAATTGTAACATTTGAAATAATTTTATATGTAACGTCCGTCAAAGGAATGTCAAAAGACGAAGGATCATGTTGGATTAACAACCAGTGGACGTTTTAGCTCACCATGATGCGGTTAACTGTAAACTGACAGTTTTGTATATATTGTCAAAGTTGGTAACTGTAACTGGTAGAAATAAATTAATTATTCCATTCTGTTGGTATGTTTTATAGAACTACAAACACAAAAATCCCTGAAAATATCAATTGTTTTATTTCACACAACTGACAGGACTGAATCTCATTTCATCAAAAGAAAAAAAAAAGTTTGCTTTTTTCTTTTTAGCCACCATTTGATAAATGAACCCAGAAACAAACAATATTATTTGCCTATTCTTTCTTGAACAGTAATCGATACAAGACATCTTTAGATCGGCTTACTAAAAATGCGCAAATGTTTTTCATTCACTCACAGACAAATCGTTTTATAACACAGTAGACAAAATGAAATCTCCTTCCAAACCGGACATTTCATATTTATCCTAAATGAAAGACTCCAAGGCCTTTTTTCCCAGCGTTAGACTGAAACACTAAGACACAAGTGCATTGTAAGGGAACATATGCAGGTAGGTCGGTGTGGAGTGAGGTCACTGCAGTTTCCGTTACGCAAACATTTTGGCATAAATCTTCTTTTCTTTCTCTTTCTCCTCCTTCACTTGCTGCTTCACTTGCAGCATTTCATTTCCAATCGCTGAAACCAGTGAAAGGAAAATGTAAAAAAAAAAATTCACAAATCATAAAATATTTTTTAAAATCAAATTCAGAATTTGTAAAGAGCTGTTTAACCTTTGTCATCTGGTGCAATCTCCTGTGCTTTCTTCAGATCAATCTGCAGTTTAAAAACAGAAAAGATGAGTGCTCTTAAGAAATAAACTCATGTAAATTGGAGCAATTTTCTTTTTTTGTAAGACTGATTCATTTAAACTTTCAACATCTGTCTTTGTTCTACATTCAGTAATTGGGGTGATTCTCTCTGACAAAAGCAAAGCCCTCAGACCAAGAGAATATGCAGTTTACTAATGAATTAAGCAGTTTTCCTGAATAACAAGTCCTGTTAACTAGTTCTAAATTAAACTCAAAGATTATTCATAATGCATCCTTTTTTCAAGCCTGAACGTGCCAAACCAGTTTCCATGGTTTCCATGGAAGAAATGAAGTCATACAGGTTTGGAAAGACATGAGGGTGAGTAAATGATGCCAGAATTTCATTGTTTTCTTTGAGGCATTTAGTGCAGTGGTTCTCAAACTATTTGTGGCTGAATTAAAAATGTTGAATTACCAGTTGTCTTTAGGCTGATTAGCTACAGTATGCGCAAAAACTGTGAGCAACTGTTTTGGTAGTTTTTAGGTATCTGAGGTCTCAGTTGGGCTGCTCTGTTCGTTTGACTGAAAACGTTTGGGAACCACTGATTTAGAGTGAGATGAATGTGTATTTCTGTCCATGTAGTGTTGGTACCATGGCCTTATTGAATTCTTTAAGTCCCTGCCAGGCCTGAGCTCTCCTGAACAACGCTTTAGTGTTTGTCTGGTTAAGCTCCAGGGCCTGAGGAAAAAAAAACACCACTATGTTTATGTTATAATACATAAAACATCACAATCACCCCACAAACAAGGAGAAAATACACTTATACAAGCCATTTCAAGAAATCTGAATCCACTTAAACTGTTCCCTAAATAGAGACAGTGCGTCTGGTGATCTATAAATGGTAGCGGCCGTGACAAGGTTATTTCAAGAGCGGTGAATAGCTGAGGTACGTCTTTATAAAACATCAAGACCCTTTGCTTCTTGTATCCTGTAACCCAGATGCAACTGGACACCATTCAGTCGGCTCAATGTCAGAATGTCCCATGTTACCTCATCACAGCTCTCAATAGCTTCCTGCCAGAGTTTCAGTTTGAGTTTGCAGGCGGCCGTGTTGAGAATGCAGCTCAGGGCCGTGGGCTCCAGCTTTTTTTGGGCACTATCATCATCTAAGGTGTTGCCGCAAATCTCTAGATACCTGTGGACCAAAACAACCTTTGCTTGGTTATAGTGATGCATACAGACATGTTGCAGTCACAGTGTTGTCCAACAACACTCACTTTAAATTACACAGTTAGAAATCTTAATGCAGCAAGATTCATTTTTAATGAGCCAAAAAGAACGCACGTCACACCTCTGTTTATCAATTTGCTCTGGCTACCAATAGCTGCTCGCATAAAATTCAAGGCATTGATGTTATCTTCCATTTTTTTATTTGACCCTCTAACTCTAGCACACTCCATTCTAATTCTATTCTTTAAAAAAAACCTTGTCCCTTTTAGACTTGCACTCTATTCATTTGCTGCTTGTTTTCTTAAAAAAAAAAAAAAAAAA